CCTCCCAAAGTGCTGGGATGACATGCTGAGCCACCGAGCCTGACCAGTTTCACCCTCTTATACATCACAGACTTCTGAGAAAAAGTAGGTGCTACTTTTACTGCCCACATCTTACAGATGGAAAAAGAACACAAAAAGAAGTGGATATTTCTCTGTGATTGGTTGCACAGGCAGCCGGGGTGCAACCAGGTTTTAAATCTGCTCATCTGATTCCACCATTGCTGTCAACCACCATGCTACCCCGGTGCCCTAAAACTGGGTAAAAGAATGAGTGCTGAGGCTGAGTGGAGGCCGAGATGAGAGGATTGCTTGAGCCCAGGAGTTTGAAATCAGCCTGGGCAACAAAGCGAGGACATCATTTCTACAAAAAAAAATTAAACTGGGCATGGTGGTGTGCACCTGTAGTTTCAACCACTCGAGAGACTGAGGCAGAAGGATTGCCTGATCCTAGAGGACAAGACTGCTGTGAGCCATGATCGCAACACTGCACTTCAGCCTGGATAACAGAGTGAGACTCCAACTCAAAACAAAACAAAACCACAAAAAACACAAGTGCTAATAAGATGCCAGGAGTGTTAACAACAGAAGGTACTTCGAAGACAAATAAGCTGCAACTGAAAACAGAATTTGATTTGTGCTTCCTTATAGTCAATCCTTAGAGGAAAAAAATGAGGAACTAACCTCAGAGGGGTAACCAATGCCCTGGCTTGCCCGGGACTGGGAGGTCCCCATAACAGAGGGGTCTCCAATGCTATAACCGAGAAGGCTGGTTACACTACTAGTAAAGTTTTAGCATATTTTATGGGACCTCAGATCATGAAAAACATACAAAACTCTTATGGTGTCCTCATAAGCACCTATAGCACCTCCCCTCACCATCATTAAAAACACTAAACAATTTTCTCAACGTTCTGCTTGGGAAAGATGAAGGGATTGTGGAAAAATGAATCCCTGTTAATTGTTGAGTTTCAATCATCTTATCTATTAGTATGTTCAAGAGTCTGAGTAAGAGGACACACAAATTCGAGGTTAAATTTTGCTCTGCCAACTCCAGCTGTGCTTTAATTTTCTTTCCCAAGGTCATATAAGATGGCTTTCATTAAAAAAAAAAAAAAAAAAAAAAAAAGTCTTCCCTTTGTAACAAGCAGAGATTCAAGCCAGTCTTGCTTAGAGAGCTTGGGAGCTTGGCGGCAATCTTGTCCAAACTGACCTGGAAACCAAACTGGTGTCTCTAAAAGCTGGTTGAAACCTCAGCTCTGAAACCTGTGATATGTTTCCTGAAGATGGGGACTGGGTCTTAGTTATTTTGATTCCCTCCACAGAGTCATTTTACAAATAAGCATTGTCTCGATCACAATCTTAATCTCAGTAAAGTCAGAGTACAAAAGCCCCTTAACTTGGTGCAAATGTTTACAGATGAGTAAACTGAGGCTTAGAGAAGAAAAGGAAATTGCCTAGTCACCAGGTTGAGCTCAGAAGAACCACATAAAATGGGAAATGAACACTTCTTAATTAAGATTAGAAGACCCCCAACTGCCACCATTAGGTTGCAGGAAAAAAGACCAGGGGTCATTAAAGGGAAGGGATTTTGTTTTTGTTTTTTAGTAGGAGTCTCACTCTGTGGCCCAGGCTGGAGTGCAGTGGCACGCTCACAGTCACTGCAGCCTCGACCAGCTGGGCTCAGGTGACCCTTCCACCTCAGCCTTCCAAGTAGCCGGAACCACAGGCACGCGTCACTGCACCCAGCTATTATTTTACTTATTTATTTACTGTAGAGATGAGGTCTCGCCAAGTTGCCTAGGCTGGTCTCAAACCTCTGGACTCAGGCAATCCTCTTGGCTCCATCTCCCAAAGTGCTGGGATTACAGGCATGAGCCACCACGTCTGGCCTGGTACAGGGATTTTTAACCCCAGTCCAGGTGATCCGTCACAGGCCTTCAGAGACCTATAGTATAGGTGAAAAAAAGAAAGCAAACGTTTTTAGAATCCTGTGCAAAATAAACGAGCAGCTATACAAATGGAAAAGAAAAATTCTTTTTAGGGAGAGGAGGAAAGCGCTACCATGACATGTTGAAAATTTCAGGAAAACGGAAAAAGTTCTAGACGAACTATCTTGTACGTATTTTCCAGTCAATTCAAGATTCTATTGAGACTAAGGACAATTTTTAAAAACATAACGGAAATATAACATGATTGTTTCTACCCAAGATCCCTGAACACCTCCTCTGGACAGCCACTGTGCCAGGCCACCAAGCCTAAGAACAGCAGCACAGTCTCCAGCAAAAAAAAGCAGAGTTCAGGAGAAGGCAAGAGCTTTCTGACAACCCAAACATTCCCAATGTCAAGACCCCACCGGAAAGTTCCAGTGAAACTCTCCAAGCAGCAAACGCGATTTCTCATCTCAATCAATAATCAAATCTATCGATCAAGTCATCAATCAGTATTTCTGAGTATGTGTCACCTGCTCAGAACAATTCCTGCTTTAAGAAGTAACAATGAGGCCAGGCATGGTGGCTCAAGCCTGTCACCCCAGCACTTTGGGAGGCCGAGGTGAGAGGACTGCCTGAGTCCATGGGTTCAAGAACAGCCTGGGCAACTTGGTGAGACCTTATCTCTACAATAAATCAAAAAATTAGCTGGGTGTGATCGCACGTGCCTGTAGTTCCAGCTACTTGGAAGGCTGAGGCGGAAGGATTGCCAGAACCCAGCAGGTCGACACTGGGGTGGCCGTGATCATGCCACTAGGCAACGGAGTGAGACTGCAACTCAAAAAAAACGAAGCAACAATGTGAATGAGAGGATAAGACATAGATGATAAAACATAGGTAAGATACAGTAAGATGACAGAGATACATAGATAGACAGATGAAGAAAAATGCCAATGATAGGATATAAAGTCAACGCCAAGTGACTAGGGGCATCATATTGGGTGGCCATGATCATTTTGGATTGGGAAAGCTTCGCATAAGTGGAGGGACCTGGCTTTGAGGAATTTGATGAACAGAGTACAGGTGTGTCCAAGCTGTGTGACACAGCGGCAGCCATGGCACCAAGATAGAAGGGGTCGAGGTGTGCTCAGGTGACAGAAAGCCAGTCTGTGGGGCTGGAGCAGAGGGCTCAGGAAGGAGCCCCTCCTTGGTGACAGAAGCAAAAAGGCACGCCGGAGCCAGTCTGCTGGAGAGCCCTCTCTTCCAAGGCCAGGAGTCGGGTGAAAGGGCTACACAGCTGTCTAAGCTGCCATTGTAAACCCTACTTTTCAAGCCAATTTTTTCAAAAGAGGTAGAATCTGATCCTTTCGATTCGTCATGGCTAGATGTAAGCAGATCGGCTCTAAGGTTCCATGATTTCTGAAATATTTCTGTGCATTCAGAGGTCGCCGGTGAAATCTCACGGCCAAGAGCAAGTGAGCAGATGTCTGCAGGGCTGAGGACCAAGATGAGGCTTCCCTAGAAGTCAATTTCCAAAGAATCTGGGCAAAAAAGAGTTTCCTATGCCTCCCTGTTGATGTGATCCACATGGTTCTTTGTGATTCTTTAAGACCAAATGTCACACCCACCAGAGCTAAAAGTCTTCTGAGGTCCAGCTTACACATTTTGTAACATATCAGAAGAAAAACAAATAAGCAACAGAAGAATAAAAAGACTATTTGAAGTGAATGCATATTTATGGTTCAGAAAAGGCATTTTTAACAAAGAAAAATCTTATCTGCCTTCAAATTTTTTCCTTAACGTCATGTTAACATCCTCCATAATCATGAATATATTCTGATTTTAAGAAAAAAGAAAGTTCTCAGAGATAGTTTAGAACCAGTCATGTACAAGGATTTTTTTTTGCTTTTCCTTTTTTTTTTTTAAGTTCAAGCATACTGTTTTGTATGGCAACATTCTAGTATTGACCCTAGTACCCGGGCAGTCAAAGGAAAAACGTTTTTATTTGATTAGTGCTTCTAAATTTGAGGGGGGTTTGTGTGTGTTGAGGGGTGTCCTATTATTTTTTTTAAATGCCCACAGGAAATAGTTACTTAAAAAAAAAAGAGCTTGTGACTTGGCCGTGCCCCGAGTTCAATTCTTCCAGGAGTGGCAAAAACAGTCAACAGAGCCCTAACCTCCTTTCTGTCCTAACTATACAATCGTTTTCAAAGAGGTTCAGTCCTTCTATGAAAGACTCGTGCTAGACACTGGAAGGGTCTCACAGAGAATGAGCACCAGGCCTTGAATAAACAAGGGACACGGTGACCTTTTGCCCCTTCTGCTGAAAGCCCGGCACATCGCGCCGCAGAGGACCAGAGAAAAGTGGGTGTGCGACCAGGTGCCGAGGAACCCCTGCCTCTGAGCTTCTCCCACACTTAGGACTTCAATAGTATTAGGGAGCGAGAGAAAAGTACAATTCCTGGAACCAACTGTTCCAGTGTCCCCTAAGCCTTTGTTCCCATATTGTTCGAGTCCCGGCACATGCCGCACACGTTTCACTGGCAACAGGCAAGACAATGGGTCTAGCAGAAGCTGAACAATTAGTCCCAATTAGGCCTATTTCCCAGCTGAATGTAAAGGGGTATCGGGGTGAGGTGTGGGGGGAGGGGAAAGACAGAAATGTTAAAGAAATATTTCGGCAGGGAAACAAGCGATGCCACGGAAAGCCAACTTGAACCAGGGATCGGGAGACTCAGGCCAAGTTCGCTGTGTGGCATTCAGCAGATACCTGAACCTCTCTACCCTTTTCTCTTCTGACCTATAGAGTGTGGGCAATCTACCACCGCCCTTCAGAGGCTCTGGCGAGCTCACGTCAAACTGTGATTGAAAGGGCTCTGGAAATCTGAAATGTTGCCCACGTAGGGAATGCCTCCCAAGCTGTGTTTGAAACCACAGACACCCATCTGTTCTGCAAATCGTGTACCTTTCATTCTAGCCTCGCAGAAGTCAGGAAGACTGAATGTTTTTCTTTCTCATTTCCTGTCCGTGCCCCCGATCGCAGATTTTTCCAAGTTCATGGGCGATACTCACATGTGTACGTGCGGCGGCTGGAATCTGCTCTGGTTGATGTTGTAGTGCGTGAAAGCCTGGGTGGGATTGGAGCTGTACTCATCCACCGTTATGGTAACTTTGCCTTGAGAAGGGATCCCATGTGCCATCCTTCCTCCCTGTGGGCATGGGCAATTCACAACTTCACGGAGCAAAAGGCGGGCGCGGGCATGGTGTGCCTCAGCCGGCCTCTGAATCCAAGGATCTGCTCATCAATCCTGCTGTGAGTTTCTAGAAGGCAGAGAGAGAAGCAAACAAAAAAACTATAGATAGATAGACAGTATATGGGGGTGCCAAAAAAGTGTGTACACATTTTAAGAGATGTTATCTATGCATTACTTTTCAAAGTTGAATTGAATGAAGGTAGCAGTATGGAATACAGCATTCGTTCAAACGCTAGCGTCACCATGCCACAGGCAGGTGTATACTGAGTGTGACATTTTGAATGCAGTTTTTTTCCTTTCTTAAAATGCGTATACATTTTTTGGCACCCTCTGTGGGTGTGTATACACACACACACACACATTTGTATATACCATCTATATAATGAGAACAAAGAGAAAGAAGGTGTCCTGAGAGACACTAAATTTAACACCTAGACGTGAAATTGGTTCCGGGAATATCAGACACTGCACGCTTGCCTGGTAGAGACAACGGCTCCCAACTCTCTTCCTTTCTTCCGCTTCAAGGCGGACATGACACTCTATACATCATCATGGCTGGGTGCTAGCAAATCATCTCAATGGAGTTCAAACTAAGATTTCCTCTTTAATTATAATTATGGCACTTAACGTGAATGACGGAGGGGCATGTCCACAGTTGCCATGGTGTCTGGCTATAAATGGTGTGTGCTCGAAGTGCCAAATCTTCCAAACCTTGTCTGCTAATTGGAATGTTTGGTCTTTACAAGTGGGCGTCCTATACTCTCATTTGAAAGCACCATGCTTAAAACAGCCATACAAAACCATGACAGATATGAATTTAAAATGTTGTGCTTATCACAGATGCATGTGTATAACCATAATATGCTCATAATACCCACAAGTGAGATCTAATTTTTTTTATTTCATGAACAGGTCCCCAAATATGTAGGTTATGGTGAGACAAATCTTTGATAAAGGTAGTGTGGTTTCTTTAAACCCTCTGGTCACTCGGGGTAAAGCCAAACACACCCCAGCCTGGATCACCAGGTTGGAGGCAAGGATTACCTCCCCTCTCCAAGCTCTGATGCAGTAGCTCAGGGGGGCGGACGCCACATCTGCCACCTCATTCATGGTGCTGCACAATACTCAGAAGTTGGTTTCATTTTTTCTTCAATTCCAGTCCTTCTAATTCTCTTTATAAATGTCAATATATTACTTGCAGCACTGGGTTGGAAAATGATGGCTACTCTCACAGTGGATGTGTGAAGACAGAGGAGAGCAAACCCTTGTGTCCGAGCTGTGGAACCCGGTCGGTGTGGAAGAAAAGGAGCAGTTTGGGTCACACACTCCTTGTTGACCTGTGGGCAGCCCGCACGCTTACACTTTAAGAGCTCAACAGATTTGCCATGTGCACCATTAAGCTCCGAGAATCTTAGCTGCTATCTCAAATAAAAATATTTAGAATAATAAGATTAGATTTAGATTTGGCACGAAGCACCTTAAATATCGAGCGACGGGCAGATGGCCTGCCATAGGCCATTTATTTTATTATTTTACAACCCGGGGCTTGTGTAGTCCCCCATATGCTGGCTGGGCTGAGAAATTCCAGTGCGTTCTACTCAAATCGTTGCCTTCTTCCTAACAGCAAGGCAAGCTGAAAAATGCCCACCTTGCCTGCGTTCTTAATGTGCAACTGTACAGCCAACGATGATTCCCTAGGCTCCGGCGTTCTAAACTAAGTGTCACCCTGGGTTCTCTTTCTCCTTCCTGACTTCATGGGAGGTAGGAGTGCTTTAAGCACCAGTTGACAGACAACCAGGCCAGCAGGATTAACTAAATTAAAATCTTGCCCCACTCCTCTGATGTAAGATATCTATAAGAACTGCTTACAAATCATAATGTAGCAGTTTTCATACCAAGTTTGCAGCTGTTTCCTTCATCTCCCCCACAATTATATTTTACTGTTATTTTGCATAACAGTAAAACACAACACCTGCTTCAAATTGCAGTCCTGTTCTAAGTACTGTAATTCTCTTTTGAGACACAAAGTACCGAGACACTAGGAACTGGAGCGCAAAACTGCATAATTGCGCGTGGCGCTGAAAAGTAAATACAAATGAAAACATCTTCCTGTTATAGAAATGAGTGTCATTAAAAAGAATGTTAGCCATCAAAGCACAGAGGGGGGAAAAATACACATTTTCAGACTGTGAGAACTTAGCGTTTGCATAAATTAGAGAGGGGTGTAAAAATTACTCGGCAATTCTTATGCTCCGTCTTCCATCAATGTCTATTGTGTAAAATGCAGAACATTAAGAAGCAAAAGAAATCAAATTCGCATCTAGATCATGGTGACCTCCGGGCAACAATCTCTGCACCCGGTGCTGGGAAGAGGGCTTGAAATGTTTCTGGAGTCAACTCACTAATCAAGCTAAGCAAAATGCGGCCTAGAAATAAGATACCCATACCTAGTATTCAAATCTCTACGCAACGACCGTTAGCAGGACACCATCCCAAGTCCTCCCACTGGAAGCTAAGAAGAGACAGAGCTTAGAAGATGGTCAACTTGCCCTTCCAAATGGTCCACTCCATCCCAAAGTCATCCTTTTTTTTCTTTTTTTTTTTTCCTGTCAAGGAACACGATACCTCTTGGCACCTTTGCCCGGGCAAGACAAACAGAACATCTTTTCATCAGCAAGCCCAGGCTCCTGTAACTCTCAAGGGCTGAAAGGATGCCTGGTACCTCATTTGAATTTGTCTTTACCATGTTCCCTTTCAAATGTTTTATCGAAACAGTGCACCTGCGGGGTATATATCTTCTTTAATCTGGAGTCCTTTGAAGAAAATGTCAGACTGAGGCACAGAGCTTCAAAACTTTCTCAGCACCTTTACAGACAAGTAAAGAAAAGCCTTATTTTTTAAATGCTATGTTCATCTGTATCTGAAAAATATTAAACACCAACACATGGAAAAGTCTGGCTTTTGGTAAACTCCCAGAGATGGGGGGCAATGGGCAGAATCACCTCCTTTAACCTGAGAAATTTAGAGAAAATTTACAACAAGACAGAAAGGGACACTGCCTCAAACTAGCACGACGCTGTGTGACCTGGCTTCACTATTTAGGAGGTAAAACCTTCCAAACGATCAGATTTCGGGGTACCTCACCCTCTTTCACACTTACGTTAACTTTTCACACACAATATTTAAAGAGAGCTGCATTCTTTTCTTTTCTTTCTTTTTTTTTTTTCTTGGTAATTTTCATTTATACTAAAACACTCTTGCTCCACAAAACAAAAGAACCCAGCACAAAATGTCAGGAAGCCTCCAGGAAGAATCTAAAAGGGACTGACACCACCGAGCATTCATGCTGATGCTAGTTTGATTTTCTCCTTAAAAAATAAAAAAAAAAAATCATGTGAACACATTTTGCATTTCCTAGACAGCAATCACTTCTGTCCCTTAAGTTGAACAACTACCAATGTTCTTTTCCAGGAATCTGGTTGGAAAACCTTTTAAGGTCGGCAGGCAATGAAGGATTAGAAATCGAGGAAGTAAAGAACCGTCTCCACCTCCCAGTTACCAGAAGTCCACCTGATCAAAAGTTTCAGAGCAGCAACACCGACCTCTCCACCAGGGCACCGCCGGGCCAGGCGACAGGAGAGGAGCCCGCGACTCCCTGGGTCCCAGCAAGGATGCTCATTTTATCCCTGGCCTTGAGACGACCGGGCGACCCCACAGCCTGGCGGGGCTTTGGGACTTGCCTGCTCCAAACCCGTGGAAAGTCGCTCTCTCCGCCCTCCGCGCACAGACCGGGCGCGTCCTCCACCCACGCCCCTGCGCAC